TAACCTCTGCTGGGACCACAGGAGGATCTGACGCGCCAGTCTGTCCAGAGGGCGCGAGCGCAGACCGCCCTGGTGATTCAGATAGGCCACCACCGCTGTGTTGTTCTCTTCGGAACGAACCAGGACGTGGTGGCCTTGGAGATCGGGCAGGAAACTCCTTAGAGCCTGGAACACCGCCAACATCTCGAGACAGTTGATATGCCACTCGGATTGATGCACCTGCCAGGATCCCCTTGCAAAGCGGCCGTCCATGACCGCGCCCCAGCCCGTGAGGGAGGCGTCTGTCGAAATAACCAGCCGGTGACAAGACCCTCCCAGCACCGGCCCCTGGGACAGGAACCAAGTTTCCTTCCAAACTGATAGGGAACGAAGACACTTGCGCATAACCCAAATCAGACGGAGAGGATTTCCCCTTGTTCCTTAGCCACCACTGCAGGGGTCTCATGTGCAGCAGTCCAGATGGTATTACGCTGGACGCAGCCGCCAGGAGACCCAACACTTGTTGAAAGTTCTTCATAGTGATGGCGTGGCCTAACTTCACCCCTTTCACGGCAGCCAATATGGTGTCGACACGTGCCAGAGACAATTGTGCCCGCATCGTTGTCGAATCCCATACAACCCCTAGGAACGTAGTCCGTTGGGTGGGCGCCAGCACGCTCTTCTTTGCGTTGAGCCTCAGCCCTAAACGCCGCAGATGAGCCAGAACGACATCTCAATGCCGAACCGCCAACTCTCAAGACTGGGCTAGGATGAGCCAGTCGTCAATGAAGTTGAAATCCGGATGCCCTGGAGCCTCAGCGGGGCCAGTGCTGCATCCATACACTTGGTGAATGTGCGAGGGGAAGTGCCAGGCCGAATGGAAGAACCCGATACTGGTAAGCCACACCCCGAAGGCAAACCTCAGGAACTTCCTGTGAGAAGGATGGATGGAGACCTGGAAATAGGCGTCCTTTAGATCTATCGTGACGAACCAATCCTCAGATTGGATGTGCGTCACGGTGGCGGGGATGATGAGCATCTTTAACCTGAATCTCCTCAGAGACCGGTTAGAACCCGCAGATCCAAAATAGCACGCAGCCCTCCGTCCTTCTTGGGGACTATGAAGTACCGGCTGTAGAACCGGCGTCTCTGTCTGGGGGGGAGACACGTTCCACGGCCCCTTTCCTCAGCAGAGTACGAACTTCCTGTCCCAACACCGGACCTTGCTCCGGGGGACCACAGTCCAAACCACCCCTCTCTTCTGTTGAATTTGGAGGGCGGGTTTGAACTGTAGTCGATACCCATCTATGGCAGTGCGCGGTCCCACGGAGAAATGTTCGTCAGGCTCCGCCAAGCCTCGCAAAGTCTGCCAACGGAACCAGCCCCTCGGGGCCCCGAGAAGCGACACTCTGCTTCTTCTCCTCTCCGTAGGGAGTCGAGGGAAGGGACCTACGCCTGGCAGCCTCAGCTGCCTTGGGTCCAGACCGGCGAGGGAGGTACTGGCGGAACGCTTCGCCCTGCGTCTAACGCTCCGTGTTCTGCGAAGCTCCGCCAGATCTTCCTCAGAGGGACCCCCCCTCTGAACCATCTCCTGTAGCAGGTCGGCTTGGTAGGATTGAAGCACCGCCATGGTGTGCAAGCTCGCACCTGCCTGGCCCGCTGCCATGTACGCCTTCCCCACGAGCGTGGATGTGGTGCGACATGGTTTGGATGGTAACGCCGGCTTCTCCAGGGAGGACGCAAGTCGAGGGGAGAGAGAGCTCGCAAGCGCATCCTCCACCCGAGGCTCCCATAACCACGGTCCCTAACCCCCATCACCTTACTGTAGTTCAGTGATCGGGGTGTGGAAAGCCATGTAGAGAAGGGTCTGCCCCATGATTACTCAGTTCATCATGTAAATCAGGAAAGAATGGCAGAGACCGGCGTGGAGGTGGCGTGTGGTGCTTCAGAAACCTTTCATCCAGCTTACCACTAGCCTGTGGTGTCTGCTCTCCTGTGGCCAGTTGATGTTGAGCTT